TCTCCAGAGTAAACAAACCCATTTTTTTCAATCTGTCCTCATAGGTCAGGTTTTCTAGACCGTTAATCATTTTTGTTGGTCTTCTCTGGACTTTCTCCAATTTGTCCACATCTTTCCTGAAATGTGGCGCTCAGAACTGGACACAATACTCCAGTTGAGGCCTAATCAATGCGGAGTAGAGCGGAAGAATTACTTTTCGTGTCTTGCTTACAACACTCCTGCTAATACATCCCAGAATGATGTTTGCTTTTTTTTTTTTTCAGCAGTGTAACACTGTTGACTCATATTTAGCATGTGATCCACTATGACCCGTCGATCCCTTTCTGCAGTATTCCCATTTTGTATGTGTGCAACTGATTGTTCCTTCCTATGTGGAGTACTTTGCATTTGTCCTTATTGAATTTCATCCTGTTTACTTCAGACCATGTTTCCAGTTTGTCCAGATCATTTTGAATTTTAATCCTATCCTCCAAAGCACTTGTAAGCCCTCCCAGCTTGGTATCCACATTAGACTAGAAGGTCTCCCACACCTCTGAAGAGTGTGCTCTAGTCTAATAATAAATCTATGAGAGATTCTGATGTTGGCGTCCCTCAGTCTCTCCTGTTGAAGTTGTTCCAGTGGATATAAATATAAAGAGTCACAGGAGCCAGGGGACTCGATTCTGGGTCACCCACCTTCCAGGTGGGTGCACTAAGCACTGGTCTCTAGACTTGTTCTCCCTCTCTGGACCTAATGACTCCACAATTATTTATACCCAGTGGAACCATTTCAACAGTATGTCCACAATAGCGAAAGGGGGACCATATGTAATTCTCCACTGGTGCAGCTTAGCCATTGGTGGAAGCTGTAGTGCAGACAGGGCTCTGGTGTCTTTACCACTGTATTATTGAACTCTGCTCAGAGCAGGTCTAGACTATGCTGTGGTAAAAATGCATGAAGGCCTCAGCCCTGTCTACACTACAATTTCTATCAACAGTAGTGAAAGCTAGCAGAGCATCAGCCATGAACCAAAGAAATCCCCCTCCAAGTTGATACAGTGGATTAAACCATAGGGACTCCTATTAGGGAGGTGTACTTTTGAGAATGTGATACCTTAAGTATTATCAGTACCAAAGTACTATCAATGGAAGAGAATATTTGGCATGTTGGTATAGGGTCAAATTCTCCTCAGACAATGGGGTGGCACTGTATAACTGAGAAGAGAATGTAACCCCTAACTACCAGGTTAGTTCAGATTTTCCTTAGTTGTGACACTGAGGGAAGGTTTTGTGGAGAAGCCGAGAACAAGCATTTCAGTTTCTATATCGACACGGCTGTCCTGGTACCACTGCCCTTAAATCCGGTCCTGTTCGTGCCCTGTTCTAGCGTTAATGATATTTATGGGAATGCTGGTAGGAATGTTAACCTGACCTGTAGTCTAAAACTTGGTTTCAGGGGTGGGTGTGGAAGGGAAGTGTTTTCCATAGGAGACAATTTATGTGTAGGAAGCTCAACTAGGAACATTCTTAATATTTAATTATTTTGTGATGGAATCTGTATTTAACACTCAGGTTGAAGGGGAACCAGCTAGTGTATGAATATCCTGTCGAATGATGATTTTCAGGGAATCCATATTAAGTTCAATGGCTTCTTTCACTTGACCCATATATTTTGAACCAAAACACTTTACGCCTTTTGGCTTCCATAATATTAAAATAACAGAGCCCTTCTTGGAGGCAGCATTTATTAAAGAGCTGAACCTCTGTTTCTAGCCAGTTTGAGGTCTGATCCATTGAACCTGACTTCAATGGTAACTTCATGCGTGGAACTTTTGCCAGTTCGGCCTTCATTTTGTATCCAGAATGTGACTATTTTGTTTGTTGTTGGTAGGAAAGCACATGGTGCACAGTGACTTGTTAGTTTATCTGGTGAATAAAGACAGCCTAGAGGGAGTGGGGCCAACTTTCTTATGCCCAGTAAGATCTTTTGTTTTATGTGAACAGCTAATGGTAAACCAAGGCTGGACAATAGAGGCTGATGGGAGAACCCATAGCAAATATTCCACCAAGTGTCAAGCTGTCCGGTACCCTGAGCATTTGACTGAGAACAAGAAACTACTTAGTGCTAGTCCTGGCTCTGGCACTGGGTACTTTGTGGCCTTGATCAAGTCACTTAGCCTTTCTATTGCAGTTCCCCATATGTAGAATGAGGCTAGAAAGACCCTCTACCTCTAGAGAAGTGTGTGGTCTCTCAAATAATAAAGTAGGCTTTGTGTGGTGATTAATTGGGTTAATATTTGCACAGTAAAGCTCTGTAAGTACAAGAGGGATCTGAGAGGAGCTAAATCCATTGAGGCAATGAGATGTGTAAAGTCATGCTACCAATGAAAGTTAGACCAAAACAGCGCCATCTTTGATGGACCAATTATTTCCATTTGGCTTTGTCAAAAATCTGTGTTGCTGTAATGAAATAACAGCAGTGGGAACAGCTGGGGGCTTACGCTAATAAATAAATTAATGGAGATATCTTATCTCCTAGAACTGGAAGGGACCTTGAAAGGTCATTGAGTCCAGCCCCCTGCCTTCACTAGCAGGACTAAGTACTGATTTTACCCCAGATCCCTAAGTGGCCCCCTCAAGGATTGAACTCACAACCCTGGGTTTAGCAGGCCAATGCTCAAACCACTGAACTATCCCACCCCCCATGTAACACCATGGGTTTTGTTGGGATAAACCTGACTTATACCAGTGTAAATGGTATCTGAATTGGGCCCTGTGAGTATTTTGTTCTTATTAAAAAGAACAGGAGTACTTGTGGCACCTTAGAGACTAACAAATTTATTAGAGCATAAGCTTTTGTGGGCTACAGCCCACTTCTTCGGATGCATATAGAGTGAAACATATATTGAGGAGATATATATACAGAGAGCATGAACAGGTGGGAGTTGTCTTACCAACTCTGAGAGGCCAATTAAGTAAGAGAAAAAAAAAATGTAACAATTTGGCTTACGCAGAGCCAGTGCCTTTGCATAAACACTTGATAGGTTACGTAGGGCACTTAAAGGGAGGGTTCTCACACTCTCATAGCATTCACCTTAACAGAAAGATCATCTTGGCTCATCTCCCCTCCCATTTATGGTCACGTCCTCATCTCCCTGCCACGTGCAATTACTTGTCTGTGTCTTCTAGTAAACTACTGAATTTTCTGTAAATGAACCTTGGGGTTTTTTTTTGTCTGGTTGGAATTCCAGGAATGTCTGAGGAAAGTGAGGTCCCAATCATGCAAAGCACTAAGCAGGTGCTTAACTTTAAGTGCTTTAAGTTCCAATGAAGAAAGTGGAGTTACTCACATTCTTAAAGTCAAGCACATGCTTATGTAGCGTTGTTATGAAATCTGTACAAGACACGTGGCATTTCTGTTGTGTTTCAGTGAACTAAATTTCTCTGAAATTGCCATGTGAATAAAGTTATATTCCTGATCAAGAGAATACTCAATGGACTATTTCCTTGGTACGAACACAAGATGTCTCATGGCATTGCGTGCTGGGATTATTGGTTTACAGACACCATCCTCTCAGTCCAACAGTCTGTTTTGCCACAAAATATAGTTCTCCTTGGAAGTAAAAATGGTGGATTTTGCAAAATGTGGGCTGAGATTTATATATATTTCTAGCACCAAGTAACTAATCTGTAGCTACATGTGGTTTCCTTTTCTCCTTTAGCCAGTTGTTGGATTCAAGGGTCATAGCCTGCTTGTGGAACTCCCATTGACATCTGTGGGAGTGGTGTGCAAACACTGAAGATAGAATATGGCCTCTCTACTCTTTTTTTTCCAGACAGCAGAATAAGCTTGGACTATCCCAGCACTCCAGTGACATTGCCAACCTGCAATGCTGCAATTCCCAAGAGGAACCCTGTTCTAATGCAATATCTTTCCATTAGTTCTGCTATCCTAAATCTACTGCTATTTACAGATTTGGATCCAGAAACGTAGCATTTTTCCTTTACCAGTGGCAGCTGCTTGGGGGCAGATGTATCTGCTATGCAGTCTTTTGGCCGATCAGTGCTAAAATGACCTTGGTTAAGCTAGAAAATCTGAACCAATCACCATTTCAGATTGCCTTGTTCTAGGATGATCTGCATTCTTCACTAAAGGGGGTGGGTAGGGGGCAGCAAGATAAACTGGAAAAACCAGCTATTGTGTAGCTACTCCCTTCATTTATTGTATTGATCGTGTTCTGCCCTTGTTCAGGCACTGGTTTATTACACAGAGTGGGTTATACACAAAAGGTTCATTGCACGGTCCAGGTTCTGGTACCTTATGTCCAGGTGGCTTACCAGGTCCAGACAATAGCATCAGCATATATGACTATCAGCAAATTTCTTAATATGGAAGAAACCAATACTTGGATTTGAATCCCTCACAGTGATAGAAAACCATCACCGCTGGTCCTGCACGAACAAGCGTCAGAGCTAATTTCTGTATGGTGGAAGGCCACAATCAAGCCCAATCTTGTGATCCCTGGGCACCCAAAAATCCTATTGACGCTCATGATAAGGAAAGCAAGATCAGCTTCAGATTATTATCCCTGGCATTCTAGTAGAGCTCAGAGGCCCTATTGTGCTAGGTACTGTACATACATATAGTAAGAGACTTCAATACTTAGACCAAGTAGACAAGACAGACAAAGGAATAAGTGCTATTGTCCCCATTTTATGTGGGGAATGACAGCACAAAGATTAAGTGACTTTCCCAGAGTCTAACAAGAAGTCTGTGGCAGAGCTGGGAAATGAGCCTAAATCTCCTAATGCCCACTCCAGGGCATTAACCACAGGACCATCTTCCCCTCAAATTTCTGCCCTGCGTTAATGCCCACTCATTAATGGGACAAACGAATTATGTTGCCAAGAATGACCCTTCCCTGATCAGTCTTATGCTTTATTAGCAACATGAATGCCAGCATGACTCTCTCATTGCTACAACATGTTAAACACCTTGGAAATGTTTCCTTAAACTCTAGGTCAGTCTTATGAAATCCGTCTACTTGAGAATAGGAAATTGGGAGAGTTTCAAGATTTAAACACAAAATATGTAAAGGTAAGGAGAAATATAGATTTCTTTTCTTCCTGCTACTACATACAGACACAAATCAAGGCCCTGACCGTGCTTATCATGGAGGACAATGGGAGATATTTTGCCATTGACTTTAATGGGAGCAGGACTGAAGGCCTAATGCCTGAGTTGGTTAGAGCTGCCTGTGCAGTTTTGCTTTGCAGGGTTTCATCTAAACCTTTGCTTTGGTTACAATCATGCCCTCAGAGTTCCACTCTGAGTTTTGGGTTCAGATGAATCCCAAAATTCAAAGCTAAACTGGGCTGAAACCATTGAGCGTCACTTCATCTACTGGCTTAACCCATGCAAAGCTATAAACCAACCCCAGGTTCAACGCACCTGGGCTCAGATACGTGTTCAGAAGGAGGACTCCAGCTTTGCACATAGCTTTCTCACACAGGTCTTACACAGCTCAAGTTTACATTCGTGGTGGACTCAACCCACAACATACAGAACTACCTCCTGAGTTCTGGGTTGTTTGACTCGGGGGTTTGGATTTTACAAATACAGGGATTTTGCAAAATTTGGATCCAGATCTTGGTTCTGGTTTCAAGCCCTCCTTGCCCAAATTCTTGTGGTTGTGATCCAGGGATTTTCATTAGAGAAGGGCCATTTGCAAAATTTGGATCCAGATCTGGATTTAGACCATCTCCAAAGTTCAAGCATATTTGAATTCCATGTTTTTATTCAGCCCACGACAGGAAGGATTTATAAAACGTGGCTCTGGGTTCAGATTTGCACACACGCTCTCTTGCTAGGAGAGCAAGCAAGTGCTTGGATCTAGGTTTTGGTTTGGGCCTTTCTCTAATGTTATATGCAAAATTAATCTCTCACTTCCATTCTGAATGGATGGCAACAGCAAGACAATGGACTTGGAAACTGGGAGGTGAGGGATAATTAGCTTGTGGTAGTGCAGCACTTTGCATTTGCAAAGCAATACATTAGTACAAAGTCTCTTTGGCTTTGCCTGCATTGGGCATTTGCCCTGATTCTGGCCATTTGGTCTCTGGCCATTGATGTAGCTGCACCAGTTCAAACCTGAAGTGAAAGGGGAGCAAGCTCTGCTGGTGCAAACAGGCTTTCGTAGTCTACACTGGAAGAGGTGCACTGGGGCAAACCCTACATCAATGGCTTGGCCGTCGATTGCTGGAATCAAGGAAAATTCCCACTGACAAGGCCTCTGAAGTTCAAAGAGAGCATTGCCTTGATGAACCATCTCTCAATGGAATTTGACATAAATGGAGATGGGTGGCTTTCATTGGGACACTCTGATCTCCTCCTCGATGGGAGTTGGACACATGGAGAAGGAACAGATCAGACCCCCATCTCTGACACTGGGAAACCAAACTCCTCTCCGGAAAAGGGCTTCTGGCTCCCCTAATTCATCTTGCCCTCCTCTCTTAACAGAGCATCCTTCGGGTGGTTTTCCATGATCGGCGTCTGCAATACACAGAACACCAGCAGCTGGAGGGCTGGAGATGGAGCCGGCCTGGGGACCGCATCCTTGATATAGGTGAGATTATTTCATTATGGTTCCCATAAAGTGTTTGGAGCTGGCTGTGAGCTGCGTGAAGGATTTTTCAGAGTTTGCTTTTTTAGAAAAATTGTAATGGTGTGTGCATGTGCAGGGAGGGGTGAAAGAAACCACAGCTGCATTGGTTTAAACTGGATACCTCGTTGGTTGTCTTGGCTTTTCAAATGAGTCTGGTAATTGTATGAAAACTTGGTTGGTTGTCTTCAATTTAATATTTTTAAAATTTTAGGGGTTTTCTTCTACAGATATCCCACTGTCAGTCGGTATCTTAGATCCCAGGGCCAGCCCGACCCAGCTAAACACTGTTGAATTTCTGTGGGATCCGTCCAAAAGAGCATCTGCATTCATTCAGGTAAGGAATGAATGGATTTGCATGCAGTAAATGGTATGGTATGATGGAATAAGGATACACAGAGACTGAAAAACTATCTGAGGTGTGGGAAAGAAATATACTAAGGAAAATACCCGTACTCCATCGATGAGTGTGTGCATTGATGTCCTATTTATAGGATACTCAGGTGTGCCAATTTAGCTTTTTGGGGGTGGGGCTGCATCTTCTATTCTTAACACATAGCACAGGCCCTGTTGTAGGTAGAATGATCTGTATGTCTCTTTAAATATCCACTCTTCTCTTAAAGATGGGTTTCATTTATGGGGGGGGAAAGGCCATAAACTCTAGTTTTGCAAACACCCCAAATGGCTCAGTGTCTGCAAAATCTCAGACTTCATGGGGCTTTCCCATCCTTAATATCAAGTATCTATTTTTTTTAAATCTGTATGTATGCGACACCAAAGCCTGCTTTTCTATATGTTCAGTTTTTCTCCAGGCTGCTTGTCCTGTCACTCTTCTGAATTCTCTTTATTTTGTTCTGAACTCTTTCTATGTTTCCTCCAGAAAATAAGAGATGGGCCGGAACTAAACTTGAAACCCACACTTGCATATACCCCTGAACTTCGGGGGCTTGAAATTCAGATCTTTTGCAATTTTGAGCCATCTCTAGTTATAAAGACAGCTTCTGTTTTGCCAGGTACATTGTATCAGCACAGAATTTACGCCAAGGAAACATGGTGGAGAGAAAGGGGTGCCCTTCAGGATACAAATCGACACATTTAAACAGAATGAGAATGGCGAATATACCGAACACTTGCATTCTGCAAGCTGCCAGATCAAAGTGTTCAAGGTATGGGCTAGTTCGGTTTTCCCAAATTCTCTCTGGAGTTCGAGACACGGGGAATGTTGCTCTTGCTGTGTGCAAGGTTTTAAAAATGTTTGTTAGTATTTCAGGCATTACAATAAAGCAAAAGAATAAAGGTATTAAACAGGTGGCGCTCGTACTCTTATCAGTAGTACCCGTTATGGAAAAGGCACAACATCCTAGCACACCAAGCAACAGAGATCTCAAAGTGCACTGCACAGCTAGCTACGTTCAGTGGACCGGCTTCATGCACTCAGACAGAGATCTGCCCAGATCTCAGTCCTTTCTGTTCTCTGGATTTTTAAACAATCAACTCTGCTTGGAGGGGCTAACAGCTCCTTTGGAAGGCACCAATGCACAGAATAGAGCTCTCATATCAGAGTCTCTTCAACCGTAAAAGATATTGCTCATTGAGTCACCAATAGCGGGAAAGAATTAGCCATAGAGATGGTGTGTATATTCTACCTGTTCCAGTCCCGGCACTTGGTAACTTCTGTCACTGCCTGTTAAGATACCAAAGCCAACCTTTGCTCTATTACAGTGGTCCCCAACCCGTTCCATGGGGCGGGTGCCGGATGACTAGCCGCCGAGGACCGTAGCCGCCAGACAAGCAGCCATCGAAATGCCACCGTGAAGCGGCAATGTTAAGAGGCGTCGCCGCCAAAATTCGGCCGCATTTTGGCGGTAGCGCTTCTTGACGTTGCCGCTTCTTGGCGGCATTTTGGCGGCTGCTTTTCTGGCGGCCAGTAGGCGGGCGCACAAGGGTGCCCGGCGGGCGCCATGACGCCCGCAGGCACCGCATTGGAGACCCCTGATCTATTACATTGTATAAATCCAGAGTGTTTTCACTGGCTTCAGTGGCATGCTCTCGATTTACACCCATAGAGCTGAGAGCAGAATCTGGCTCCTTTTTTAGTTTAGTTAGTTTTTAGTTAGCTCTTCCTGAGTAGCGGAGGAGAATAACGACTCCCTAGACTACTCTCAGATAAGCCCTCGAGAAGGGCCTTAAATGTTGCAAGTAGTTCTCCTCTATGCCACACAACGGAGAGGAAGATGGGCAGCCTAGTTCTTGGTCTCTGTTTATGTTTGAAGCTTTTTGGCAAACCTGGAATGAGCAGGTACTCGAATCCATTTCGGGACTGGTGATCAGGGTTTGTTAGCTCTGAATCTAAACTTCCCCATAGCCTGGAGGGGGTCATGGGGGCTGGATTTGGTGATCCACTCTGACCCCTCTTTAGCTTTCATAACATCTACAGTCCCTGGAGAAATAACACAGGTGTTCATTGAAGTGTGTTCCTCCATCAGAGATTCAGGCTCTAAAATAGTATCAAATCCTGTGAAAGCAAACAGCTTGTGTAGCACTCAACATGTTTAGGAAATGCTACAGGCATGGCAATATTAACAAAGGATGTTGTAGATACAGTAGAGGTTTTTCTATGAACTGCTGCTTGGAAAATAGAGGCCTTATCCTGCCCTTGTTTCATGTATAGAAAGCCCATTGATGTCAATGAGGCTTTTGTGCACAGATCAGATGAAACCTATGGCCCCCTGTTACCCACCCTGTGAAGCGAGGCATAAGGAAAAGCTTGTGCTCTGTGCTTCTAGCCTAAGGGAGCTGACAGAAAGCAGAAAACTGACCGAGAGAAAATGGAGAAGAAGACTGCCCAAGAGAAGGAGAAATACCAGCCCTCCTATGATACGACCATTCTCACAGAGGTAAGATGCTTCAGTCATGTACAGCACACTGGTTTAATATGTCGGGCCACACACTTAAAATGACAAAAGGAATGACTTCTGCACTGGGTTGAATGAGTTTGTGGGGATCCACTCGGCAAGGTCTCATTGAGACTGAGAGCTTAATGAAACTATATAAAAGGGATTAGACTTTTCATAAAAAGCTATATTAGATGGAACTAAAGTTTATAAGGAATATTGGACCCTTATGCTTTAGAGCATAAACCAGCCATTAACTGGGTTAAGGAGCGATTGTCTTTCACCTCCCACCACCCCCTGAACTGTCCCCTCCAAATAAGTGTCCCATACATGTGGCTTACACTTCCCTGTGAACCATCTGGTACTGGGTGGAGTCTGACAGGATGCTGGAAGAGATGGTCTGATCCAATTGGCAATTCCCTTTCCTTCATGGATGTCCTTTAGAACAAGCCATTCTAGTGAGCTTGGTCTTTGCTAGCTTCACTCTACGATGGGCTCACGTTTGAAGAATGTTGTGTGTGTGGTATGGGTCATATGAGATCTACTTTTTCTTCTTTTTAACATCATGATTACACTGTGCACTAAAGCTTGTGCATAACCTGTATTGGGCTGCAGAAGCACCAGCCAAGGGCACCTTTATAATCTGTTTAGGAGTCAGGTACCACCTTCCTTATGGGAATGTTCTACAGGCTGGCATTTTAGTCCTGGAACTGCCGCTGATGGGAAGATCAAGTTTTTTTTTATTTAAACAGTGTCTCACTGGAACTCCTTAAGACGATTTAATTTTCTTTTTGCTTGTTTTAAATAAGCTCTCCCCGTTCCCTAGGAGAACAGTTTTTGGTCTACAGTTACTTGGAATAATCAAATACCATATAATTTGTCCTATAATCTAGTAGCCTTTGCTAGCAAGACCCTGCTGTGCAGAGAAACCTAATCCTACAGCATGGGCAGATACAGAGCTCTTGCTGTTAGTACCAGTGCACTTTAACACATTGAATCAGGAAATCCTCTAGCCCTGGTTGCCAACGAGTTAAATATTTGTTTAAAGCTATGTTTGTGGAGGTGATAAAACTCCAAGAATGCCACAGATTGTCTCCTGCTTTATCACTGCAAACAGGGACACTGCATAGTATAGTCATGGGCTCTTAACAGGTTGACTACAGGGCCAGAGTCTGTTGTTGTTGTTCTGGATTTACATCACTGTAACCAACTCCATTGGCTTCAGTAAAGTTACTTTGGATTTACACCAGTGCAACTGAGTGTGGAATCAGGCCTATGTTTGCAGTGGTTTTTGGTAGCCTTTTGTGTGCCTGCCTTAGGTTTTCCTATAGCCTGTATTTATAAACTTGACTTCCTTTGTTGATACTTTTGAATGGACCAGGCCAAATTCTGCTCTTACGCTGGTAGAAACCTGACGTAACTCCACTGATGTGCCTGTGGCTCATCTAATTAGTCATTCTAGTCTGGAGTTACTTGGGATTTATAATTGAGACCAGAATCTGGCAGCTGGGAAATTTCAGGCCAAATCCTGCCTTCAGTGAGAATTGATTTATTGGTGTTGCCCAGATGTAAGGAAGAGCACAGTTTGGCTCAGTGTTAGTTTGGGACAGGCTTTCTGAAAAGGAATATATGGAGAAAGCACCATTAGAACTAATTTGGTACCGCCTCAGTCCTCTTGCAATGCAGAGTATAGATCACTAGGCCTGCTCCTCCTGTCAGCAGGGGTAATTTGCTGACCTTAATGGAGTGACAGTGCCGTATGTGGTGTGAGGGAAGAATCAGGCCCCCTATTTAAGCCTGCCTTGCTCAGTGTCCCCATTGGCTTTGTTTTTACAGTGTTCTCCATGGCCAGATTTGCCTTATCAAGTGAGCAACGCTCCATCTCCAAGTTACAACAGTTCTCCAAACAGCTTCAGCCTTGGAGATGGGTATGTAATAAATGCTTTCTCTTCTCAGTTGGCGTGTAGCGTGTGTGCGTGCATTGGTTTGATACCGTATAATAAATCAAGAACCAGCTTAGCCTGGAGCTCAGTGCTTATTCCAGCTTTAAAGTCCACTCTTCCCACAAGAATTCCCGGAAGGAACTGGCTGCATTTCCCACCTCCTTGCAGTTTAACAGTCTGATTACACATTCCCGATCTGTGTGCTGTATTGGGCAGGGGACGGGAATAATATTTTACACTGAGACACTATGGGATGGTCAGTGAAAGTTCTGCTCTGTACATCAGTGAGGGCAGTGTTAGGTCTTAAGTGTTTATAACGGCTATCTAGTGTTCTCATTTTAAATTTAATGTATGTAAACAGGCCTGATGATATCTCTGCTCTGCACTGACAGACTTAGGCCCCGTGAGGGAGGGGAAAATATTCAGACTGCAAAAATAGACACTAGCATGCTAGCTGATAACTCTCTTCTGAGCACTCACTTCTATTCAAAGGTAAATAATTAGCTCTATAGGCAAATCTTTAGCATTTTTTTTTAAGGCCCAGTCCACCCTGGAGGATAAAACATGTTTGTTTGAAACATGGTTTAAACCAGTTTGGGCTAACACTGTTCAAATACAATTTGCCCTGTTTAAAATAATAACACTGGGGTCAAATCATGGGGTCCTTCTTTACTCCGTTTTTGCGCAGGCAAACTCCTGTGAACATCCCTGGGAGTTTGATGGCTTGGCCCAGGGATGATAAAATGTTTGTGCCCAGCCTGCATTGGCAGGTCAGACCCTCTTAGCATGAATGGTTTGAGGATAGAGACTTGCCCAGCTGAAAAGTTTGAACTCAATGTGGTAAGCAGAGTTTTCCTCCCAGTATGTGGGAGACCTGACAGTGCACTCACAGTTGCTGTGATGTTTTGGTTCAGTACAGAGCTTAAGGGGCCTGATCATGCCCTCAGTTGCACCTCTGCAAACTCCAGTGAAGCCAATGGGAGTGCATGTGTGCAACTGATGATATGTTCAGGGTCAAGGTTAGCTTTATTCTATAACTGTGACATTTAAGAGTAAACATGATTTGTTTTCTGCAACCTGCTGAAGATTAATTCCATGGTAGTAGGATTATTAAATCTGATGGACCTCTCCTCCCTTCACTTCCCGCCACCACTTTTTCTTGGCACACATTCCTCTCAAGGAGTTAATGCAAGATCTTGCGGAGAGGGATTAGAAGGCACTAACTTTTCCTCCCACAAAGTCCATCTGCTTTCCATCCAGATGGATTTGTAAAGCAACAACAAAGGGGCAATGTCAATGGAAGTTTACTTGCAGAATTTTGCCCAAACCGATTTAAAAAATAACTGATCCAATCAGGGGGAAAAAATGTCAACTTGACATAAAATTCTTGACAGTCAAGACAAGGGGTTGGGGGGTGGGGAAAGACAACCAACAATTTTCAATGTCAATTTTAAAATAACTTTTTTTTCTCTTCCTGCTTTATACAATTTTTTAGCAACAGTTCTCCAACCCACCAAGTGGAGCTCCTGCCTCCCAGCAACGATGTAAGTATTTGAGATCATGTTAATGTGGTGCTTTTCTTTTTTTAGGACACTGCTGAACAGTTCATTTCAAGACCCTCTTATTCTTTTTGCAATGTAGCACCTCCTTCCCTCTGCTTCTATTCAAGATGTCCAGCAGTGGCTTCATCGTAATAGGTTTTCTCCATTCTGTAGACTCTTCTCAAGTTTCTCGGGTGAGTTTAAGTGGTCCGTGTTTTTGTTTTGTTTTTCTGGTACAAGCGTGGATCATTCTTTGGAGGTTGGTAGCGTTTGTCAAAGAAAACGGTGAGCGGGGGTTTGGACGAACCTCTAAAAAAGATTGGTCAGGGTTTCCAAAACTGGATGCCTAAAGTTAAGTTCCTAAGTCCCTATATAATCTTAATAGGAGCTGCTTAAATACTCAGCACTTGTGTGAACTGGGCCACTCATTTAGGTGCCAAAATCTGGGCTTTGAAGTCTAATTTTGGGCAACTTGGTTTTGAAAATCTCGGTCACTGAAATTCTACTCTCTCTCATTGGTGCACGAAATGTGCGTGGGTTGTTCCAATTTAAGCTAACTTTCATCATGCGTTCAAGGAAGGAACTGACCGTGAGTATCTGAAAGGTACATACTAGGAGGTGACACACTTTGTAGCTTGTGAAGGCTGAGCTTATTGGACATATCGGGGCTCCTTGGTTCCCTCTGTCTCCCCAACCACAAGCTCCCTGTGGGGCAACCTCCCAACTTCTTCTGTTTCAGGGACTCTCTGCAACTTCTCTCCCCATCTCCCTTCCTCCCCACCCTGATGGGTTCTGTGTGCCTCCCATTTTCCCTCTCTCATATCCGGGTCACCCACTTCCCTCCCCCCCCCACCCCGTATGCTAGCAGCTCTGTGTGCACCTCTTTTCCAACCTTCCCTCCAATATGAGGGGCTCTGTGTGCCTCCCGTGCAATCCTCCATTCTCCCCCCACGTGCCAGTGCCTGTGTGTACACCCCATTTCTCCCCTTCCCCACCATTGCTAATCTGGGAGATAAATCCATTCAGTTTGTCAAGGTGTCAATGAGTCCAACTCTATTAGGAGGCTGGGGAGAGATTGGGAATTGTTATGCTGGATGGTATTAATGGGTGCCATCAATCCGATGTTTGATCTAGAGATAATTGTGGAGATGCTTGAAGTTGTGGCTGTGGTAATCAGAAGGCAGGGGGTCCATGTGTCCCCCCTTTTCCCCAAAAATGAATAGGGGAAATCCAATATCCAAGTTCTTGTCTCTCTCACCAACTGAAATTGATCCAATAAGAGAGATTACACCTCACCCATCTTTTCTTTCCAATATTCTGGGACTGACATGGCCCCAACAATGCTGAATAGCATGTTCTCTGAAACATTGAAATTGGTCAGATGAGGCATTCAAAAGTTATGTTGCAGACAGACAAACAGAAATGTCATCAAGTTGAGTTTAAGGCCTCCGCAATCTTGGTCAACAAGAAGACATGTTAAAATGTTCCTGTGCAGCAGGAAAGCTAGGTCTTCTACTCATAACCAGCCCTAGCCATCTAGGTCAGCAAGGGTTGCATGGCCAAATGCTGTTTCGTGTTACTCCATTAAAACCGCATTGACGTATGTAGTTGAGAGCAGATTTTGGCCCACTGACCAGGAACTCAGTCTAGCTTGTGCATGTGGCAGTTGAAAGCACTTCCTCTGGACCACTGCTCATCATTGGCCATTCTGTGGACTTGCAGAAAATCTGTTGTGAAGGGATCGATTGCAGTGCACACCCTGGGAATGTTAACTGTTAATCCAGCATCTCTTAACAGGTCCAGCTGTACATGTTTCTGATTATTTGGAAGCTCTTTTGTTTTGTTTAACCTCTAAAAATAACCTCGAAATGTCTAGGTGCTGACTTACTGAAGATGTCCAAAGAAGATTTTGTTCAGATCTGTGGGCCTGCTGATGGAATTCGGCTCTTTAATGCAATCAAAGGAAGGTTTGTACCTATCTCTTCCAGATACTACTATTGCAGCATCCATTGGTGCTTCCAGTGTTAATTCAGTGTGTCTGGTTACAGCGCCTCTGTAAAGTCCTCGAAGTAGGTCTCCTTAGAGTCTGGTTGACTCAAGGGGCTGGCAGTGGGCTATTCACCCTAAGGTATGGGTTTGAATACTGCCTAGGTCAGAGATGAGTGACCATTAGCATAATGTGGTTCTTCAGTGGTCTGTTTGGAATCAGTTAGTGGTCTCAATGTGTTTCCCAGTAGAGACATGTTCACATCCCATCTGGTACCTGTGTTGCCTGTCTCAGCAGAAACCAAGGTTTGAATGGACTAAAAAGACTGAGCCCACAAATGCCTCCTAACCCTCATCAGGAGGCAGTGGCTACACTCACTAACCGACTGGGCTGGGTTCAAGTCAGTAACTGAGGGCTTTAGCCTTCTATGTACTAAGGGCCTCCTGTGTGGTGCTGAGCACCCTCAATCTTATTTGCTTCATAGGAGTCGAGGCTGCTCAGCACCAATTCCATCATCTCCCAGGGTTAGCAAGCTTCTGTTACCAAATCTCCGGGCACATCTCCTCTCCTCTGCAATGCTAGTGTCAAGATTCCCCTTAACTGCTTTTTATGTACTACCCAAATGAGTCCACCACCGCTGTTCCAGTGCATTGTGGACCGGTTCACACCAACAACACAGTCTAATAACAAAGAATTTCACTTTTGTTTTTAAACCCATAGAAACGTAAGGCCTAAAATGACAATTTATGTCTGTCAAGAACCAGAGCAGAACAGGTCTCATCTGCACCAAAAACGAGAGAATGGAGATGGTAATCTGTGTGGTAAGTGTCCTGATCTCTGCTCCCATAAGTGCTAGTCTGATGAGATGCGTTGGTTCTGAGCTCCACATCTGACTGCTCCATGTCTGAAAAGTTAACAGTGGTTCACCCCAGCTGTAATTCCACTGGGTTGGCTTCGGGTCCACAAGGGCATGGAGCACAGACAGCATCCTGCCTGCCACAGAGATGCAACTTGTGCTGACTTGAGGGTTATTCAGGAAAGGCAGGTGATGTTTGCACTGCCACCCTCCCTTAAGGGAGCCATCAACACAGGGCAGTTTCTGCTAGTGGCTCCACAGGAGCCCCTACAATGGAATGCCACGGAGGAGACCAGTTGAATCAGTGCATCCTCTCCCAGCTGTCCTGGCCATGCCCTCTCTCAAGCCGGCCCTGCCCACTTCAGGGGTTCTCCTTGGCCCCCTTCAAGCCCTTTGATGGAAGGGAGATTGTGGCCCCTTTACCCTTTTTAAAAATCAACATTGTCAAACGTTACCACCCATTGGTATCTGATCTACTGCAGTTATCACCTCGCATGTAAAATAGGAAGTAACTGATAACACCATATAGGAGATGTTGACTTTTTAATGGCAACCATTGTACTTTAGGCAACCGTTTCAGTTAATAGAATTTGAAGAACAGATGCAAGACTCTGCCCTTTTGAGAATGGCACAGGCAGAAATGCCAGAGGGTAGTGGGGCCTGGAGGATAGGCCACAGGATTGGGCATCAGGAGATCCAGGTTCTGTTCTGGGTTCTTCTTCGAGATCTATGCAGGCAAAGAACTACACGTGTGCTAGGCTTTTTTCTTATAACATAGAAACTCATTCATCTTCCTGTGGCTCAAACTAATTCTCTTTCAGATGTATCCAAAGTGTCAAAATGGGGTCAGCAGAATCACACGATTCTCTAAGAAAATCAACTAGCACTCGTATAAAGGGTGTTTCATTTAGTGTCTTGCGATGTGTGGTTTTATTGGCAGTTCTTGAATCTTTCTGCAGGCAAATCTGGGCCAAAACTTATCTAGATTTTCCTTGCATTCTTACATGCAGAGAAATAAATATTAGCCATTTTGGGGCAGATCCTTAGCTGGTATAAATTGGTGCTACTTCAAAGGCACTATGCTAACTTACACCAGCTCCAGATCTAGCGCTTGATCTTTTATATCCAATTCATTCATCGAAGTCAAGCTTTTTGGTTGTATGTATAAAGGCTTGTTTCCCTTAATTATTGCAGTATATCATGCAGTCTTCTTGGAAGAGCTGACAACCCTGGAATTAATTGAGAAGATTGCAAACTTGTATAGCATTTCCCCACAGCAGATAAATCGGATCTATCGGCAAGGACCTACAGGGATCCATGTATTAGTGAGCAATGAGGTAAGGGGCTAAAGCAAACACATCTGGTATGAAGTATCAGAGTTCAAGACAGCTGCCTGACTTTCTTTTGTTATAGTTAGGCTGACCTTTAAAACTATGTAAGAGTCTCCAAGGGAACTAGTCAAGATTACTAAGCCTAAAAAATTTGTTTAACTATCACACTAGTCCAAGATATTTTTGAGTCTTAAATCAAAGAATTTAGCCATACAACTCTCCTTTTTTCTCCTTAAGAGAAGTTCCTTTTAAGTGATATTTGCTGTAGCATGAAATATATCTTAATTCCAATGAATTAGTGAATTTCAAAAGTGGTAACTTTTTGGGTACCAGATCTGAAAATCAGGCTCTTTAAGGTTGGGCACCCGGAAATCACTTGCCAGTCACTCTTCCGTCTTAGCCAATGGCTGCAGACATTGAGCCAAAGCCATTGCTTGCTAGGTGTATGTAACAATGTCCCTGAATTCTTGGCAGTTCCCTGCTTACACAAGCACTTCATAGTGAATTGCCCCACTCTTCTTTCTTTCTCTAAATGACTTACTCTTTTCATGCGCCAGAATCACTTAAGGAGCTTCATTTAGATGGACTGGCACTACACCTGAAAGGAACGTTGTTAAAGCAAACGAAGCAGAGAGCGGGACTCAAATGGGGCCTAAATTTAAGCCTGTAATGCTTACTCTGAAAGTCTCCTTGCCATTTCACCCCGATTAAATCAGAAACCTTCAGCGTTTAATAAGCATGAAGTGCTTTGAGGCAACCTGTGAGGGAGGGAATTGCCTCAACTACCTCTGGTGTGAGGGGCCTTAATTAAATACTTAAGTTACTTATTAACAATATCTGTTACTTTATTTTTGGTCTTTTGTGCTCTAGTGGCAGAGAGGCACAAGTGATGCAAAGGAGAGGCACTGAGTTAATGTACTTCATGCATCATTAGGTGCACACACACCCAGTGCAGTGGAGTCTAATTTGGGTGGGGGGAGAGAGAGAGAGTAGGGGAGTTAACTTAGCCTGAGGGGAACCAGAGGTGGAAAGGGAGCTTAGCATGAGAACTTCAAGAGAATGGAAGTGGAATTGCTCTGCTTGCCATTGGGGTCAAGTTTAAACAGGTAGGGGCCAGATTTTTCAAGTGCTCAGCACACAATGGGAGCTAAAGTCTCAAAAGAGCTCAAAAAGTTAGGCACTTAACTGCCTTCCAAGCTCTGGGCCTCAGCTCCCGTTGTAACACTTTTCCAGAGGAGCTCATCACTCTGTGCCCAACCTGATCAGATATTTGGCGATTTAAATGGAAGCTGGACTTTTCTTTAAAATCTGTTTGCTTCTCATGAGTAACTAGCTCTGCTTAGGTTAGCTACTAACCCTACCAGCAGAGATCTCACTCTTCTCTTTGAGTTTCTCATATGATTTTGGTCAAGGTGTATGTGTATTGTCTACTTGCAGAGAGGAAGAAACAGGCAAATGTTACATGTAAGCAAAGTAATCAGATGTATGCTGTCTAGCTTATTTTATTTAAGGACATTAATGATATTCCGTATGTACAGGAAGGACTCCATTTTTCCTTTTTTTAGAAGCAAACATCCCCTCATTCAAAAGAATGAAATGATAGCAATGATCTACTCTTAACTGAACGGCGTCCTTTCATTGGACAAATATTTCACTAGTAAACTAGACTTTAAAAGAAGGAACCATATCTCAGCAATTGTAAATCGGCATAGTTCCACTGAAGTCAATGGAACTATACCAGCTTAGGATATGATCCAGGACTTTTAACTTCCTGACAGTAAGATCTGTGGCTCTTGTCAGGCCTTGTTGACTTCAAAGGGTGTTTGCCACTGACTTTAGTGGTGCGAGATCAGGCCTTGTTGGAGAGGGAGAATAGTCTCCCCAAGGAAGTTATAGAAGCCCTGGTGCTTGGGACACTTAAAAATAGACTGGTGAAAAACTAGTAAATGTATAATAAGCCTGCATTATGATCCTGAGCCCATCTGATGTAAATTGGCCTAAACCTGCTGAAGTCAATGGAGGTAGGCCAGTTTAAGGGCCAGACCCTCACCCGATCTAGAGTGGGGATGCACTGGGTGACTTGATGTAGCAGGAAAAAATGAATTTGTGTGGTAATCTTTGGACTCGATCCTGCAAATGAGGAGCAGTATAGATCTGATCCAGAAAAACACTTAAGCATGAGTTAGTCCCATTGGCTTTAATGGACTACTCATATATTCAATTGCTTTGCTGTATTGGGGCAAAATGCTCAGTACTTTGTAAGATCTGATGCTCAGTTAATTGACCTTCCCTTTAAAAGTTATATTGGGCATTGAATTAAAACTTGTCTTAACATTTTGAGCACAACACCAACTGTTATGAAGAATTTTTGTTCTTGTTTTTTTCCCTGCCATTCAGATGGTGCAAAACTTCCAGGATGAGTCTTGTTTTGTTATCAGCACATTAAAAGGTATGCTATTCTGATGCTACTTACCGTTTTATACTATTGCTTTCAACTGCCTAAGACCTTCAGGGAAAGAATGGGGGGGAAAAATTGAGAAATGGAAAGGTGGGATATGGCAGATATAAATAACCAAAAGTTCTGTAAATGAAACTTTGGTTTCCTTTGTTGGCCATGTAAATTTAAGTAATATGTAGCAAATAACACTGCAAAAGTCAAATGCATTAATCGACTAAAATATCTCTCATCCACATTTAAATCCATATTCTGATAAGCCTAGACATAACTGAGGTGTAAAGTAATTATTCCTCTTAATGAAGGATTTTATTTTATGAAGAACCACTGTATCCTCTGAGATAAGAATCTGAGAGTGAGTACACAGGTAAATGAATCCTCAGACCAACTTCTTCATGAAGCATTTGAAGTCTTGAATCCCTTCTAAGCTATCTGGAAAAGGCTGACTTTTTCTGATTTGCATCTCTAGCATCAAGCACAACTGGAGTGGTAGCTGAATGCATAAAAATAAATACTAGGGCCAAATTCTGCCCTCCCTTATACCAGTGTAAATCTGAAACTAAATTCTGCTCTGTTACATTGAATTTAGGTGGATTATAAAGCCACTGAATTCAAAGGCCCAAACCTCAATTGGTGTAAACCATCTTAGCTCCATGGAAGCCAATTTTCAGTAGATGAGGATCTGGTCCATATTCTCTGTTTATACTGGTGCCAATTTGGCATAAGTCCATTGACATCACTAGTGTAAATTATCAGAATTTAGCCGTAATCGCCTATTAGAATCATTTTTAAAAATGCTTTTGTATGAACGTTCAGTATTAATCCTTATTAATCAGTTATGGTAGCAGAGTGTAAGCTGCATTAGAGGAAAGACCAGAATGTTACATTTCTTCATCTTCTTTATATAAAATAAATCGCAATAATCTTTGCACTGAAAAGCATTTTGCTATTACAGCTGAAAGCAACGATGGCTACCACATCATTTTAAAATGACCACTCGGCCTAGCAGGACTGTAACAGCCTAAAACTACGATGCCTCACCAAGATTGCTGCAACCCAGACTGGAAACATGAAGATCCATCTGGATAAAGCGCTCCCATGAACTGAAAAATACCAAAGGTCTTAAGGAAAAACAAACTTCGTAGACAAGTGGTTTTCTGCGAATGGAGATGAGAATATCTTCAGAGCGTCTGTGTATTTTTCTACCCCTTCCCTCCTATTTAGGCTTTTAAATTGTTGAGGGTCCTGCTTATTGCTCAGATACTTCTGCCTTTTTCTAAAGGGAAATGCAAAATGAAAAGCAATTGTCATGGCTGGAACTGGTTTATCTACAGTGCCTTCTGAGTACTCTTGCATTCAGCACCAGTCTCATCTCAGATACAAGCTCTTATCCTCTTTCTAGACAGAGGACTATGGGTGGGATCCACGAACGGGCGTAGGTGTAACAACATTGAGTGTCATAGTGCCTAGAAAATCCCTGGAACAACATTGCGAGCCACAAAGCCAATTTAGACACCTTGGCTCCCTGTACAATGAATGGGGAGAGATAGGCACCTTTGACTGCGATCCACAAAGTCAACACGCTGCATGGAGGCACCTATCTTGGCTAGTGATCCACAAACTGGAGGAACACAGGTGTTTGGCTGCCTGTGTGGGACCCAAAACATAACAGCTGGGGGGGGGGGGGGGGGGAGGAAGACCTCCCTTATCGTTAGCCTGGATACTCTCACAGGATGTGGGAGATCCCCAGTGCAAGTGCCACCCCCCTCATCCTGAGGGGCAGAAACGTGGAAGATCCCTGTTCAGATTCTCTCAGGTGAGGTCCCTAGCTACCAGGTTATGGAAAATTCTGAGGTGTGGTTCCCTCAGTTTCTCCTGTTGAAGTTGTTCCATTGTTTAATTAAAGTGGAATCTTTAGATGCCTAAGTCCGTTTGTTTTCTGGCCCAATTAATATTTAAGTATCTGCGTGCATCCCATCCTGTGTTCCTATAACCAGTCCGTTATGGCTGTTTGTGATTCACACTGCATTGTTCTGTCTTTCCTCTTTAAAAAAACAACCAACCAACACTTTCCTCTCCTTCTCCGTGCTCCTGGTGAGCATTTGGTCCTGCTGCCTTCCCATTCAATTTGACAACACAGCAGATACTGGGCTAATTTCCATTTTTGGTACCCTGCTAAGCTTGCTCTAGACCTCTTCTCCATTTGCCCCCTCTCTTTTTTCACTCAGCTGTAAGACCTGCTCTCAAAAAAAAATTTTTTTTTTTTGGTAGCTACATCTGTTCCACTGTTGCTCCTAGAGATGAATGTGTATTGTTCCATGTTAGCATGCTGCCAGAAGGACTCCACATGGATGGAAATGTACACACATACAATCCAATGATTTTTTTTGGAGGATGCAAATGAGGACAAATCAAGGCGAACAGTTACACTATATTTTTTTTAGCTTAGAATAGCTTCAGTCAAGTGCATTGTTTTTTGAGAATGACTTTAAATCGCTTGACAACTTAACTCTGGATTTATTCCATTCAACGAAAGCTTTTGGTAACTGATACTTGCTGTAAATGTTAGGTTTTAGTTGTGGTAGCTTCTGGTTTCTACATAAGCTATCTGCTGTAGCAAATGCAATCAAGTATCAGGGTAGCCGCGTTAGTTTATGCAATCAGTTTATTTGAATCTAAGATCAGGTAAGGGGGCATTCCGAATACTTGCTCCTCGCAGACATCTGCTGTGTCATTCTTGCTTCCTGTTTGCATGCCTGTATCTACCATTCTCCTTTTCATCTTTATGGGCCTGATCTGGCTCCCATTGATTTCAATTGAAGCTGGATCAGGCCCTTGTTGCATTTCACTCTTTTTGGTGGCTAATTAGGAGAGCAGATTGAAAATGAGAATTTCTTTCCTGTGGGCAATTGAGACTTTGCCATTTGTTTTTTTTGCCCTGAGTTGGTCTGAACAGTTGAAATACAAAACGTTTCACAGAATGAAAAGTTTTTCAAAACAGCCGTTTTGGAAATGTTGAAACAAAACATTTCAAACTGGAAGTGTCAAAACATTGTCAAAATGAGTTGTAGTTCAGGTGCCTCCTGTTCCACTTCTCCCCTGTGGGCTGGACTCCAGTTCCCAAGATGCATTGTGTAGTAGCTTAGCCCGTGGGGGTGGAGTGGGAGGCGTGCGTGGCGGCATAGTGCATTATGGAAGATGTAATGTGGGCTGGAGTCCAGCCCACAGAGGAAAATGGGGATACAGGGCACCCTGGCAGACTGATTAATTTCTAATGGACACACAACAATTTTTTTTTTTTTTTTTAAATAAATAAAATAAAATGGGGGGGGGGGGGGGGAGGGAAATCAACCTTTTCCAATGGAAAGGTGTTTGTTTTGTTTTGTTTTGTTTTTTTTAACAGAAACTGTCTCTTCCTGCCCCCGCCCCAAAAACAGTTACTACAGATATTTCCCAGCCCCCTCTGCTAATTAACATTTCAAATACAGGCCCTGCTCTTGCCCACTTGGCTGCTTTGTACGCTGCCCCAGCTGAAACTTTGTGCAGAAAGGTGGCCAAAACTCTGGTTGAATGAATTTTATTCAAATTGGAGCAGAGGACTTTGCTTGTGCCCCTTGTTTCCTGGGTGCAAGATCTGAGCCACGTAGTTCTATCAGTCTGAGTGCTCCACTCCCTTATATGGACCCCTTGATTAAGATGACGTGTGAATCTGAGGCAGTGCCACAGAACTTCTCTGGGCACAAGTCAGGGGGACGGAATGTCTTTGATTTTGAAATGAAAAACACAACTTTCCTGGAGGGGGGCAAGGGATGGAGAATTCCTTGCAGAAGAGCTCTGCTGTGTGGCCAGCATGCTACTGCTGCCTACTAGCTGCAGTGAGACCAAAGAGGGGAGAGCATAGGTAGGACATTCATTTGCATGCTGAGGGTCATCCTAAGCTCAGCTCTCATAGACACAACCATTCTCTATGCCGTGCACTTGAGACTTTCTCCTGCTCGATAAGGGGGTTTAGGAACTTCTTGGAACTAAAGTTGGGTCTTGCTGGGATGTGGGATCCTAAGCTGTAGTTAAAGGTAGATATAACTTCAGCTAAGAATCTGGAGGTAAGGGGTTAGAACCTACTCCTCTAACTCATTGGAAAGAGCCTGAGAATACTTTACAATCAGGTTCTTCTGGGGCTTGCAAAATCCCTTGCATTACAGTGTGTGAATGTTCGGAAATGAGTGGAGGAGGGAGGAAATGTGTAGTGTTCGGCTAGTGTTGCCAGAAAAGAAATCCAACTTAAAAGGCCCTGAGGTGCCTTGGAAATCTCAGCCAAAATGTTCATGAGCCATTGAAGCTTTAGACTTGTAAGTTCTGCTCTTCTGTATGTGCTTAATGTTATGCACGGACTTCAGTGGCACTACTTCACAGCATCAGGGCCTGTATTTGAAACTACTGTACTTAACTACCAGTTTAGGCGCCTGGCAAGTTAATATTGCCCTACATCCTAAGACATTAAATGCATAAATAACAATGTCAAGAGTGACAGAGTCCTGTGGCACCTTATAGACTAACAGACGTAGTCTATAAGGTGCCACGGGACTCTGTCGCTTTTTACAGATCCAGACTAACATGGCTACCCCTCTGATACTTGAATGTCAAGAGTTTAACTTGGACCAAGAAATTTAGAGTTGATGTTTCTCATTCTGTCCTTAACTTACATGTAGCTTCCCTAGTTTTAAAGCACATACTCTGTGTGTTGCGTTGTTAGTTTCCTCTTGATGAGTGGCACACAACTTCCACTAATCATGGAGGTGTCAGGTAGCGATTCCATACTTCAGGCTGTGTTCTAAAATGGGGAAAACATTCTAGTTTTTATTTAAGAGTAGGTAGCTAATTGGTGTGAAGTTTCACACTGGGTTAGTTTTTATTCTCTTTGAATTTCCCATATGGTTTCTCTGAATAATTCTAAATTAAAATTTGGGCTTTGCCTGCATTTTTTCCTCTGCAGTTCCTGTAGAACAATATCTCCTGAAACTGTTGTGTACCTCCCTGAAAATAGTTGAGCAAGTCTGAATAGTTTTGTTTTTTAAAAATTGGACTTCTAATTTTGAGTAGAAATCATACTGTCCTAAAGGTCTGGGACTACAGCAATGCATAAATACAACACTCTGAGCAGGAGATAGAGAGGCCTTAGTTCTGAATTTTCTGGAAAATTTCACTCGTGTTTTTAGCGGGATCATTTATAAAAACTAAATTTAATGCAGACTGGTTAATTAACTCTGGTTTATTTTAAAAACAAAATTTCCCCATAAGTGTAGGAGATACGGTCACCAAGTAGTATGAAATTCTGGTCAACTCCGCCCTGGTACTGGTTAGAGGTGTGATTTTATTTTTCCTTTTTTTTTCTTTTTTTAAAAGCTGAAATACATATACAGGTACTACCCCTATGTGGATGCTGTTATACCAGTATAAAGGTGCCATACACCATTTTAGCTTTGTTCCTTTCTCATACAGGAATAAGCTATACTGGCATAAGCACTCTTATACCAGTACAATACTAGGGAGGAGTATATTGCTTTAATTGTACCCCTATAGTTAGTGATACAACTTTTATGTATCGAAATGCCCTAACTTGTGAAGGAATAACTATAGTTCTACTGGGATTACACTGACTCAATGGGACGCTTGGGAGACTGCACTTGCGTAACGAAAACCTATCCATACAAATCTGTGTAGGTGCATCCTGGCTATAATGGTGCATTTTAAGAACTTCCCGCTGCCCGATTTCAGGGCTACTGGGGTTTTTAAGAACGCCTACATAGACAGGTTATTAATATATTATGTCCTAAAGGCTATATGGGAATTTGCATTGATTAAAAAGATCATGCTGTATAATCCACAGACTGTGCTGTGATGGATGCATAGACCAAAAATCCTTATCAATACACTGCCAATGCATATAGGGACACCAGTCAGAGCAATATCTTTGGGTCAAATCTAGGAGCATG